ATTCCTCTCATCTTGAGCATGACCTGATCCAGAGCAGATTAGACCTGCAGGAAAAGTTACCATGGCAATCTAAGGTGTGATGTAAAATGTGAACCACATTAATTAAACTGAGAACCCAACAGTCAAACAGTCAAACCTTGTGGTACCTGTTAAGTCCCAATTCTTGTTGGTACACGCCCATAGTGTCCAAAAGTTTAACTGTTTATGCAACAACAGTGTTAAACCTAATGCTCAGCAATCCTACTGCGTGTTCAGTGACAGCACCAGCTAAACCGCAGAAAGGTAAATTACCATGAAGCTTTGGGTTGAGCGCAGCTGCTCCTCTCGTGAGCCGGTGCAATCTCGTGCTGCGTTTAAGTCCCAAAGGTAATTGCCAGTTTCACCATTTACAAATAAAGTTCTTTGAAGTTGTAAACATGGGATCTTCACATCAGTAACCTGCAATTCCCACATGACATCAATGCAGCACCGTGGGTCCGACCAATAAAATGCTGAAATAAGTAGCGACAGGACGGGGCACTTCAAGGACCAATCAGATCTCAGTTCTCATTGCCCCCGCACCTGGACCTGCCCGTTATTTAACAATAACTTTCCAGGTAGTTCTTGGAAATTGTTATAATTACAGGCATTTTCTTGGTATTTTGTCACTAATAGCAACCCCTTTGTTCCAGGAAGCTTTTGACTACAGCTCCTGATTTCAAGGAACACAGAGATTTTTATCACAAGCACTACACAAGGCAAGATCTGTTTGACGTCTGTCTCAGTAAATAAGCACGCCATGGTTACGGGCGCCAAAATACATAATTTAAGAGTTCTGACATCTAAAGTTACTATAACTATTGTGCTTGGGGTTGCAAAGGTTATTTAATATCACTTAACATTAATTCGCTGAAAGGCTGTGTGTTACAAGGTTAGCTCATAGTTCCTTCTTGCCTCTGTCAGTCCCGATCTGAAAGCGAAACCACTCCAACTGGTGTCTAGAAAGAAAGAAAAAAAAACATCCTCTCAAACTAAACCAGCAAGTGGTTTCTAAGAAATGAAAGGCTAAACTTGCTCTCACGAAAGACTGGGGTAATCTCGTGTTTTATTTCACGAGGCAGTTAAATGTAGGATGGTCGATTATGCCCTAGAATTTCAGCTGTTTTTTATGCTGATTCTGTGACTATGTGTCTCTTGTGCTGAGAACAGATTGTACATAATCTGTAAGAAAAGAAGCTCTTTATGGACTTTGGTAATCCCAGCACTCATTGGCAAGAGGGAATCCCACTGCCCCATTTATGACCCCTCGTGGTATTTGTAAGGAAAAACCTCCCTTCTTCTGTTTTCAAGCATCTTATTTTCCTCTGATGAATATATGTACAGTCAAAACTATGTATTTTGACAGCTTGAATGTGGGTGTTGCAAATATGCAAGAACTAAATAGGAGACTTTTAAGGCATAGTTTAGAGGTTCAGAAGTAATTATACTGATCTGCATGAAGCTCAAACAAAATTATCATCTGCAGTACTTTGTTTAAAAGCTGTCTGCAGTCATGCATAAACTATACACACATGAGCAGAAGGCCATACTCTCTCAAGCGTTCTCTGCAGCTTCTTTCAGCCTATGTTGTTGTAAGGTGTTAGGATTCAGCCACTTCGTGTATACCTAATATTCAAAATTGATTTTTTTAAGTGTCTACATTGGCATAACCACAATCCTCAACTTCCTCATCACATAAGAAAAAATACTGATAACAACAAGTTAGCTTTCCAAGACACACTACTAAAAATGAACAAGCCACACACAGATTTAGTTTACTTCAAATAAATGTTGTTTAAGTCAAACTGAATGACAGACAAACGAAAATATAGAAAAAAATATAGTCAAACATGAAAGTTGCTCACTTAGAAATGAACAAAAATCAAATCCAAATGCAAATTCTTAGTGATAAAATCAAAGACAAGGGAATTTCAAGTTTTCGGTAGACAATATGTACATTTGCATGCTTGAATCTATTCAAATGAGGGGAACACTGTGTATGACCTTCAGAGTGTCAGTGAATGTTTCCAGCAATTCGTATGAGAAGAGTAAGTGTGTATTTGTTAGGGTTTTAATGCCCAAGAAGTTTAGAAGATGAGAAACATTAACGTGAAACAAGGACCCACAAAGACAAAGAGGTCACTGCTGTTTCCCAGCAGGTCAGACAGGTAGTTTCATCCAAAATTGCTGCAGAAATCAGCTCATTTTCCTCTTTGTCTGCATGCCAGGAAAATTCAGACAGGTCTGTGAGCTCTCTGTAGCACTTATGGTTACAGTTTATGAGTACTTCTGCTGCTTTTTCTTTCCCTATCTCTCAGTCTGGTTAACCTTCCTCCCTTCCCATCGTCAAAATGGAACGGGCTGTTCTGGAAAGATATTCTTCGCTGCGTGCTTGGCATTGTTGTCGCAACACTTCTGTCAGCAGTAAAATCATCAATGAAATTAATGTCAGTGTGCCAGTTTTATTGGCAGCTGTAGATGCTCACTCTGTTACTGAACCAACAACATGTTTGACAGATTGCTTTATGATCTGGGTCATGAGCTGTTCCCCTTTCTTTTCTTTCATCAACCCATCATTCTCTTATATTAAATCTGGTGAATTACACGTTCATGTGTCTTGTCTTGTTAGATAAGGTCAACACCTTGCTTATGTGCTTATTATTATTATAATATAATGTAGTTTTGTTTCCATGCACTCATCTGAATACAGTTTGATCATCCAAAGTATATCTATGGAAAATTCCTAGTGAATATCAGACCCCTGCCATGACCCTGCCTAATGCCAGGACTTTTCAGCACAACTGCTTGTGACAGTGTATCTAAAAAAAAAGATAATGTCCACGAGATATGTCAAATATATTGAGTCATTGCCTAATTCTTCTTTCATCCCCATCAAACCAACATTTCCACCGTAGCACAAGAAATACTGAGCAGATTACCATCAAATTTCCTGACCACACCCATGATACCTAAAGAATACGCCAGTTCTATTTTGGACATCTGTCCTTTAAGACCCCATCTCATCAGTTTGTACATTTTGTGTGGCCTTTGATGGTCGTCCTGGGAACTGAGTCCTTAATGGTTTTGGTGACCCCCTCTGACCTTTCCTCTCTTACCACCGTCTGGCCAAAATATCCACTTGAGGACTTCAAAGTCTAAAGGGCAGATTGTCATTCAGTTTACTAATATATGCTATCCAGAGGATAAAAGGTAAAATTTGCATTCTTTTGTGCACATTTGCTCAAAAATGCATCTTTATCAGATTGGCGTATTGATTGTGACAAACTCTTACAAAGCATTTGTGTCATTCTCAAAGCAACAAACCCTGGCTTTAATGATACATTGATCTTTTAGATGTGTTGTGTACTGTTGTGTTCTTTAAAAGGACAAACAGTCTAGATGTGTCACTGCAATTGTGAGTGATGAGAAAAATTAACTGTTGCAAAATGTGGCTACAGGAGAAATCAGGTACAGAAACGAAATTCCAGAAATTCACAAAAGTCTGCACAAAAACAGAGCAATTCATACAATAACTGCAAATCACAAAAAAATAACAGCCACGGGTTAAAGAAAAACCCCAATGTTCATCCTTTACACAAGACTTTGTGGCAGTCTGTACAATTATAAAGCCTGGACCAAAGTCCAAGACCGGCAGACAATGCCATCACTAGAGCTATACATTTAACAGGACTGATAATAATAATTTTGTGGTCTTTGGATGCCATTTGGGCATTAGACCAGTTGGGTATTGCAGTGTTTTTGTTCCCATAAAATCTCCATTCCATGTTCACAGAGGGAATCAATATTCTATTAGTGGGTAGGCTGTGGTATCACTAGTAGGAAAGGACAATAGAAGGCAGCAGTATGAAGTTACACAATGGCACCCAACATTTACCGCTGTATGACTGACATAAAACATTTAGAAATTAAAGCTGAGCCAGTCTTAACTTTTCTTTCAGTGCTCCAGTGGTGTAGGCAAGCATCAACCAAACATATGCTTCCATTGTTTGCTTACTCACAGTGGATTTATACTTTTGTGTTAAATCTGTGCTGTAGTTACATTGTAATTGCAAACCCTATGTGGTAACTGGACATTTACCTCCCTAGAAGTGTAACTACATGTTGCCATCGACACAGAAGCACAGATATAATTGCAGGAAATGGCGTTGGCCACAGAACTATAAATTAAGCTACGGATAAGTCCGCCCATGGATAACGTCACTGAGTGTTTGAGCAGAGATCTTGTAACTTGGTCAAGCCCAATACACGTTGACCTTTATTTCACCTGCAAAGTCCCAATCTTCATGTGGAGTTTATGTTTTTTTACCACTAAAAGGGGAACGACAGTGAATGCCCTACTATGGTTATTACATTGAGGAGCCAGAGGGGGCGACACAACAAATGGATTTATTTACGTAATCATCATCATAAACATTGAGAACATAAACATTGAGAAAAAAAACAAAGAACTAGGCCCAATATATTTTTTATATAAATTTGACTTGATTATTTCAGTAAATATTGCTATGTTGCACACTCTTTTATTTATATTTTGATAAAGGGCATCTATGGGGTGATTCACATTTCCAGTCAACATATTGTCCTGACAACTTGATAACCGCAGAACATTTCTTTTATCGGCTTTTGGTCCCTTTTAAAAAACAAAAAAATCACCAAAGGAGTCGCATTATGCAAAACAATATTTTTTAAAATCTTAAAACGAATTAATTTTTTCTAATTATACACACGTATTCAATTTAATTTGCTCTGAAAAAAGTTTTTTTATTTTTTATTTAATTTACAATTTTATTTTTTGTCATAATACTAAAGTAAATTGGTTAAATATTCATGCACGGCCCGTTTTTTCCGTATTTTGTATGTCACATAATTCAGCAATTAATTGCAACAACTCGTTGCCTTTCACAATCGCTGTGTATATGATAGGCTGCAGTGCTGCCGGGAGGGGAAACCATTACAAACGTTTTCGATGCATGAAAGCGTTTCAGTGCACGTCCTATTTGTAAACCTCTTCAGTAGGGCGATTTTGCGCGCTCCCGTGGACTCGCCATAGAAAACAAAGCTGAACGTCTTCCATAACAGCTAGAGGTGCAGACTTGAGGAATATCCGAATTTAGTCTGCATACAGCGAGCTGAATATGGATTTACTGTGGGTGTAGCATCGTTGGAGACCGAGCCTTCTCGGTTGGAGTGACAGCAGGACACTAGCGAAACCACCGAAAATAACAGCTGTGTCTTTTTTTCTCGGGGTGCTTTGTCTAGTCCACCTAACGATAGCAAACCATCACTGTCGTTTTAACCGCAAGATATTCAGCTAGTTCTTACTAGCTGCTGCCGGGATGTATCACCATGTTGTCACCAAAAAGTAACCGCTAAGACGTCGAATTGTGAAGGAAACGCAAGAAAACATCTCCCGGGTCCCGACGGGTTGTCACTGGGACCTGAATCTGTGTTAGCCACAGTCGCGGAACCCACTGTTTTTGGCGATATGGCGGAGCAAGGCTACTCATCCTGGTGAGTGCGTACAGGCATTGCGCTACCGACTGGTAGCCGCTGTTGCTATTGCTAAACCAGATTGCAATAGGTCATTAAACCAACGAACCGTATTTCTGTCAGTATACAGAAACCTTTGTCTCTTCACATCGACACTTCACATGCATTTATCAACGTCTTCAGAACAAAAGGTCACTCATCCAGATATTTTTCCATCAGCTTGATTTTTTTTTTTTTGCTAAACTGCTAACTTTGGCTAGCCCTAGCTAACGAGCAGCCCCAGCTGATGCCGTGCTAACATTGTCCAGCATCGGTTAAATCCAATGGTGGCTGTTGCAAGGAAATGCTAACGAGTTAGCTGCCCTGCTGATAGCTAAAGCACAATGGGGTGGTCATTTTAAAAATTTTCCTTCGCTTTTTGGAGTACGGCTGGCTTTGTTGGTAAACCCAGTTGTGCACAATAAACGCAGCGTTTCATGACAGTGTTAAAAGGCTTAGTTTGTTGTCTGTGCCAACAAATTAGCGCTAGCTGGCATTCGTCGTCGACCCGCTGCTCACACAATAACAAAGGTTCGGCTGTAGCTAAGCTAGCATCGGTGTCAAGTCACAAAAATGCAGTTTTTCCATACAGTGACAAGCGATAGGCGGTCACAGATGGCACCATCAGGTCTCGAGGTATAGACACGATATATAACTATAGTGTCATAGTAATTTTTGTGGTCGGCGAAAGTATAGATTGCACGAAATCATTCAGAGATGATGTGATAAGTGAAATGCGTTGTCTCCGAAAACGACCTCTTTCTTATGGCCTAGTTAATCTATACTAGGTTATACTTGTCTGATCTATGAACTAAAGATTAAGTGTTTGTGTCATGTCTACTACAAGATTGTTTTGAGTCTGAGAAGGCCGAGCCAACCGGGTCTTCCCTAAGAGAGTGCATTCATTGAGTTGTACGAGTCGACTGTTTATTTCATATACTAACCTTTATTTAATGTCACACCTTCTGCCTCTGAAAATCCCAGTATTCATGCTCTTTAAAAAAAAATCACAATTGAATATCTTTCATCAGTTTTAGATCAGTGAGCAAAAGTCTTTCCCAGTACAGCGATATCTGTAAATGCAGATAAAACAAAGTTTTTCCTAACGTTTTTGCCAGCAGGGTGCCACTGTGTGCTTTTAGCTTCATAAGTGGTCTATCAAACTGTTTGTGTGGTAAATGTGTTGTATAAAAAGTCCAAATCACTGTAAAATGTGAGGCCAAAGAAAGAAAATAGTTTGTATATTTTTTTTTAATGCACAATTTTTATGACTACACCCAGTCCACAGGCTTTTACAATGAAACTTGATATTTGAAAGGGTTGTTGTCATAAATTTTGTGTGCAATGTTATTGGATCTCAGAATGCAAATTAGTGTCCAAAAAACAAGCTTCATGATCCCGTTTGACTTGTCAACGGCTGTGATATATCAGAAGATAAGCGAAGCACTGGTGAGGATTAATTAACATAGTAAGCCTAATTTATGTGACCCAGCAGCAATAAAACCCACTGCCGATCAAGATGGATTTACACCTCGATGAGATCTGATCAAAGCACAAGCAAAACTACCTCCAGATGTGGTTAAATCAGTGGATTGATTCGTAACACAGCAGATAATGTCCATTTATTCTTTTGCTTTAAATGGGACTAACATTGAAATATGTCTTCACAATATTACAGCCCCATCATTTTTCTTTTTTAATTACATTTATAGGACTGAGATCATCTCTGACTGGGAGGGGAGGAGGGTTAACTTTATGTTTGATTATTTATTTATTTTTTAAAAAAAGGTATGAATAGAAATATTCAGGCATGCCTTATATGCCCCAAACAGCTGTTCTGACTTTGACACACAGTCTGCAGTAATGTGAGTGGATAACACTCCATCAACCTCACAGCCCAACGTCTTCATACGGCTGATCTTTTTTTATTTCCACGTTTAATTATGAAAATTCATATTCAAATATTTTTTTTTTCAAAATTTATATTATATGATCAAATTAAGAATATTTTCCAGGTGCACTGTTATCTATACTGTTCTACAAACATAAAAAATGATTTGGGGTTATTTTATGTGCGCTCCTACACATGACCATTTTGCATGTGTTTGTTTTATATATGCTGATATTTAAGTTATAGTGATGCAGATTAAATCAAGTATGAATTCAAAAGCTTATGATGATGATTTAACATGTTATTGGGAAAACAACCTCTTGATCGGTAAGCTATCTGGGATTGCTCTGAACATATTTATTATCATCTGTCCCCAGGCCTTGCTTTAACAGTGTTAACGTATTGTTCATTCTCAACCTTTTAACACTTGTTGAAGATAGCTTAGTACAAAGGGAATCTGAAAAACGGATAACCTCCATCCAAGAGAGTGAAAAAGAGGAATCAGAGACATTATACTGGTTGAAATTTATTCAGAACAGCAAAGATGGTTATGAAATTTTAACTGAGAGGAGGGAAAGGGAAGGGGGGGAAAACCCCTTGCTTTTGGGGAAAATCTGTACATAATTTAATTATCATTTAAAACATTTCATTTGTGAGTGTAGTTTGTCTCAATTGCCGCTTAAGTTCGAGTTCATTAGATACTTGCTTTAAACTAACTCCCCAAACAAGTGCCACAAAGCTTTACCCAGATGGCTGCTCAGTGGCAAGACTTTCTTCTAGAAGGATTTTGGGAAAATTCAGCCACTTCAAAATTCTCTCTGGTCTAATTTGCATACATTAGTCTATTTTTTTTGAGGAAAAAAGAGGAAGAAAAGAACCACACACACCCACAGAGGCAGTTTTTAGAGGGGAAAAAAGAAAACATACAGAAACACAATAGAAGCACTGATAAGAACATGCCAAGTGGACAAACCATAAAGCCATGTCGGCCAATCAGAACCACAGGCTCTGCTACGTCAAAAACTGCCAACCCTGCAAATGCCTTTTCTGAATTTCTTGACCCATGATTTCCAAAAGGCCAGTTTCAGTGACCTAAAACTGCGTGTGTGGCTAAAAGGCTAAAGTCCATGGAGAAGGAAAATCTGTTTTGTTTTTTAAACACGTAGTGTCAACAAAGCCTTGTACATTTTGTGACTTAATGATTTTGTGTTAACCATGGCTGAAGAGCTGTTGATATAAGGATTCCTGCTTAGAGGTGTATTTATTGTAATATTTATGATTTAACTCAAGCTCCTCAAAAGAAATTAATCTAAATGGGGTTTAGATACATAGTTGCTTGTGTTGATTTGCAAGCTCAGCAGAAAAACATTAGACCGTGACTATCTATTGTGCTTGAAATAGCTTAAATGTCACTGAGGCGCTTCAGAGATGAATAATGAGTAAATGTGGAATTATAGTTGAATCTCAAAGCTTGTGTGCTCGCACTAAATTTTCTTTTTGCTTTGCAGCCAACCTGAGATTTATTTTAATTACTACAGTGTGCACAGCCAACCATCAGGGCAGAATATCATAGTGTTTGTAGACATAAGCTGTTTTCAAACACAAATTTAGGACAGTTTTGGAACAATCTGGTTGAGATATTTTCTGCTTTTCTCACTTGTAGTGAACAGCAGGAAATAAATTTGCAGTGTGCTGGAAATGTTAGATTTGCTGCAGTATTAGGTGCTCTGTTCAAAC